AGTGGACTCTGGGGGATGGTGGAGGACAGGATGGCCTGGAGGAAGGTTGTCCATGGTGTCACAATGGGTCGGACACGACTTCATGACTAGCAACAACAACCTGCAAGGGTGTCAATAGCACGTGAAACCAGGAATGGTTGAAACACAAGGTCCACGTTTTCCACTTAGTTATGAAGTTTCCTGGGTAGCTTTGTCCTCATCATCCTCTCAGCTTACCTGCCTTGGAAGAAGGTTGTGAGAATAAAATGGTGAGGGGGCAGGAAGAGAGCCATGCATGTCATCCTGAGTTTGCTGTGAGAGAGGCTGGCTATAAAGAGAAGCAAAGAGAAGTCTGAGGATTGCTGTAGATAAGTGGATGTGTGTGTATGTAGATGAGATTTTCATTAAATCTATGTAGGGTGGCTTGTCAGTAGAAAATAACTGAAATGCAAAACAATAGAACTCACCTCTGGCTGGACATGACAACTCTGGAAGCTTTCTTCTCATCACTTGTGTAATTACAGTCATTCAAATTCTACCCTAAAGTTTGGAATTCTAGATTATCTGGTCCTATTTCCACAGTGGAACAAGACATTTGGAATTCTCTTGTTCAGGCTTGCTTGCTCCTATTTTGTGTTTTTGTTTTTAATATGCTTGGGTTTTTCTTTAGTAACAAATGCAGTTTCAGTTTCTTACGATGCAATCATATATAGGTTGACTCAGGGATAAGCCCCAGTGAGTTAAGCGATGCTTAACCCCAAGAAAGTATAAGATTGGTCTCCCCACCCTGCCAGTCCTGTCCCCACATCACCAATGTGCAAACTTGTGTAAAGGGCAAAACATTGCAAAACAACTTTGCGTCATCTTCTGTGCAATTTTATCAAGACTCATTCTGTGCCTGTATTTTACTGACCGTCCTGTGCACACCATAAAACTTACCAGGAAATAAGCAAGCTTGTCGCAACACACGTTTTCAAACATGCTGTTTGGTGCACTGTTTTTCCTTTTTACCAAAATGCAGGCGCCTGGGCTTGAGTCAATAAAACAAATGGAATTGCAATCAAATGTTCAATCGCATCAGCATATACTGTATTTGTATCTGCTAGTAACACATGGGGGAATCTGCAAAGTCTACAGAGCTGAAATTTAGAAATTCTCTAACTTCTATTGGTCTGAAATCTCTAGAATTCTATTGCTGAAATTTAGTTATTCTCATCACAACAGAACTCAGGATGAGAACAGGGGACAAGATTGAAACTGAGCAGTAAAGAATCAGAATGGGGTAATCCTATTCCAAGTGTTCTTCAGGTATCTACAGGGTTTATTTATTTATTTACTTAGAAAATTTCTATGCCGCCCCATTCGCCGAAGCCTCGGGGCGGCTTACAAATAAATCAATTAAAATACTATAAATTAACAATATAAAACAAGTTAACAATATAAAATAAGTCCCACATGGAGCAGATGTGTTCTCCTTTGTTCCTGGCAGGAAGGCTGGAACCAGCAGATGAAAATGGCAGGGAAAAAAAGTTGGCTAAATGTTAGGAGAAACCAGCTAATGCTAAAAGCTGTTGGACAGCTGTTGGTTCCAGCTGTTTGTGGTGGCGAGCTCTCTCCTGATAGGATATATCTACATTGGTTGGACAGCCATCTGGAATGCTGTCGTTACAGCCTGCACTGAGGAAGGGGTTGAACTAGATCAGGCGTGGTCAGACTTTAGGTCTGCTGGATATATTTCATTTTTTGTTAACTAGCTCCCAGAGTTCCACTAACTAGAGCTTGTTGTAGAACCCTGGCTCAGGGACACCAAGTTATGTTAACACTTGGGAATTAGTACATCCACGAGCACAAACTCAGCTCAGGGCAAAACTCTTCCCCCAAACTCACACCCCTGGCTACTCCTCCTCTCCTTTTTTTTTGTTTCAGTAGCCCAATTCAGGAGCAGCATGAAGCTCACTGGGTGTCTTTGGACCATCACTGACTCCCTGCCTATCCTAACTCAACCCCGGGCTTGTCACAAACATAAAATGGAGGAGAACCAAGCATGAAGCTTTGGGCTTCCAGGAGGAAAGTCTTGTCTGTAAAATTTGCGAGTCAGAATCCCCCCTGCAGCCGGGTTTACGAGTATCTCTGCCTACTCTGTGATCTCACAAATCCCTCCAAGATTTGAGTTGTGTGTTAAGATAAAACACTTTGGTAAATTTTGTAAAACAAATCCAGACGTTCTAGGGCAATGAGCCCAAGAGGGGCACTGGCATTCTTTGACTCGGTGGTCAACCCCAACTGTGCAGGCTCTTGGGCAAAAGATGTTTGTTATGTGCCATCAGGTCATCTCTGCTTTATGGCAACCCCATGCACGAATGCCGTCCAGAAGGTTCTGTCCCTCACAGTCCACCCAGCTGAAAGGATGTTTATAGGATTTAAGGAAGTTTAACCCATAGATATAATCACATCAATTGAAAATAGGAGAGAAACTCTTAGAATAGGCAGGATATTTGCAGAGAAAACAATGCGGAAACTATTCATGTTGTTTGAACTATGAGCAAACTATTTATCTGTGTTTTAGATCGCGGACGATACTAAAACTGGAGCAGTGGCCACAACCGAGGAGCAGGTACTCCAGATCCAAAAGGATCTGGACAGACTATGGAAGTGGGCAGGAGACAACAGGATGGCGTTCAATGTGGGTAAGTGCAAGGTCTTGCACTTGGGGCATAGGAATAGCTGTCATAAGTACAGGATGGGGGACCAGTGGCTGGAGAGCAGCACTTGTGAAAGGGACCTCGGGGTGCTGGTTGACTGCAGGCTAAACATGAGTCAGCAGTGTGATGCAGTGGTCAAGAGGGTGAACGCCACCCTTGGTTGCATAGCCAGAAGCGTGGCTTCTAGATCAAGAGAGGTATTACTACCACTCTACATGACTTTAGTGCGCCTGCAATTGGAGTATTGTGTTCAGTTTTGGGCCCCTCATTACAGAAAGGATATAGCCAGGTTGGAGTCAGTGCAGCGTAGGGCCACAAGGTTGGTGGCCAGTTTGCAGGGGATGCTGTATGAGGCGAGTCTGAGGGAACTTGGTCTCTTCAGCCAGGAGGAGACTCAGGGGGGATCTGTTGGTGACATACAGGTATGTGAGGGGATGTCACACTGAGGTGGGTAGGAACCTGTTCTCCCCTGCAGAGGAAGGCAGGACCCACTCCAACGGAGCCAAGCTCAGGGAGCCAAGGTTCCGTTTGGATGCCAGGAAGCACTTCCTGTTAGGACCCCGAGGGTGTGGAATGGGCTTCCACAGGAGGTGGTTGAGGCCCCATCAGTGCAGGTGTTCAAGGATAGGCTGGACGTCCACATGGTGGGCATGTTGTGAGCGGACCCAGCTGGAGCTGGGGGTCAGACTAGATGACCCGGGAGACCCCTTCTGACTCACGCTGTTTCCATGTTACATGTTGTCATCTTCAGCTAATGGCAAATATGTGTGCCTTCCAAAATGTCTCTGTCCTGGGCAGCCCTGCTCAGCTCTTGTAAACTCAAGGTTGTGGCTTCCTTTAAGGAATCGATCCATTTCATGTTTGCTCTTCCTCTTCTTCTGCCACTGACTTTCCCTAACATGATTGTCTTCTCCAGTGAGTCTTGACTTCTCATCGGTTTTGCTTCCAAGTAACGCTCTGGCTTGATTTGATCCAGGACCCACCTGTCTGCCCACTGGTCCAGGGTATTCATGAAGCTCTTCTCCAGGACTATCCTTCGAGCTCACCTGTGTTCTTCCTATCAGCTTTCTTCATTGTCCAGCTTTCACATGCATACACGACTGGGAATACTATGGTATGATGTTGGCCTTGTTCTCCAGTGAAATGCCCTTGTGCTTAATGATATTTCCTACTTCCTTAATTGCTGCCCTTCCAAGTTTTTAAACAGCTTCATAATTTCTTGACCCTTTTAGTTTGCCTTTGCCCTTTTAAATGCATTCGTCTTTCCTACCACAATCTCAGCCAAGAAACCTCTTTCTTTTGGCCCAGCAGAACTGAAATAGCAAAGCACAGCGAACAACATGTTCTTAATCACAAGCCTGCAGCTTATTCATTTGTGCCGCTGTTAAAAGCAGCTGAGGCTTCCGATCATTAATCCACCCAATTATGGCTCGCAGCTTCAGAAAGATGCCCCTGGGTGCTGCTCTTGCTCGGAAAGGCCTTCCGAGGAGAGGGGCAACGTCGCTTCCAGTGAACGGCCGAGGACTCAGTCCTGTGCGAGCATCCCTGGCAGAAACCCCTCTCCATTCCGGGGAGCGAATTCCTGCTGGATCAGACCAAGGGTCTAACATTCTGCCTGCAGTGTCCAGCCGGCTGCCTGTGCAGAACCGGCAACAGGGGTTCCCCAGCAGTGCACAGCCTGCCATCTAGGGCAGGACGTCGGAGTATCCCAGGCCCTCCGATGCCGCCGGACCGCACCATCCAGCCAGAGCCAACAGCACGGGGTGATCAAGGCAACCCGGCACCATCCTGCCCTGGGCAACATGCCGTTGCCACCCTGGCCTGCATTACGCGTCCCCGATACACCGGCGGAGCTCAGCCTGTGCGCAGGCTTGCTTTGCTCAGGAAAAACCAGGATGTGAGTGAGGAACTGAAGCACGAAACACCAGGAGCTCTCATGTCAGGTTCTGCATTCCTGGAGCAGACTCGGTTGGGGGAAATGGGCAGGGATGATCCTTTTCTGTCCCTCCTCCTCTCTCTTCTGGGGAAGGACAGAACCTACCCGCAGAGTGACGTTACTATTAGGCCGAGAACTACAAGTCGCCACGCTCTGCCTTAGCTCATGTCCCCAGATGTTCCAGATTCCAAATCCCATCACTCCTAAGCAATGGTCCTTCGGAGCTGCAGTCCAAAGCATGGGGAGGGCAGCTGGCTGGGGAACGCTGCCCCGCTGTCAAAATGCTGGGCCTCCCACCCATCCAGGGGAAGGGACAGTGGGCCAAGGCATACTGTCACCCCACGCCCCGCCCTGCCACAAACAAACGCTGTCGAACCACAAAATGATTTGATGCGGTATTATTTCTGTGCAGGGTTTTTTTCTTTTATATATAAACAGAATTAATTCCTACTTTCCAACAATCAAACTCTGCAAGCCAACTCATACTTCTTTGCGATATACCGTTTGCTTTTTCCCTTGATTTCATGTCTCCCCTCCTCCTTACATTCACAGGGACTGGAGCAGGACCGAATGGTACAAATATTACCAGAAATCTAGTTGCAATCCTGGAAACTTTTCCAGGTGGGGCTGGTATATATAGATATTTTTAAAAAATCAAACCTAAGGTACTTGCTATTACAATAATAATATTATTTTACCATTTTAAGGAACCATTTCTTATTTTTCTTTTTAAAAAAAATCTGGAGGATTGGGGGAAACCCAAAATATAGGAGATTACATCTTTTAAAAATTCATCTCCTGATTTTTTTTTAAACCTGAAATCCTAAAACACTGCTGAAGTTTAATTAAAAAATTATATAATATCAAAAACGCACACAAAAAAACAACCCTGTTGTCAATTCATTCCACCACTAAAAACTTTCCTAATGGCCTGGGTTTCAGCTATCATACAAACACCGTACCTCTATACAAACGCGCCTTTAAACTAATAAAATAAAGAATACTTACAGGAAGAAAAGGAAAAAGAAAAAAGGGGAAGGGAGGAGATCAAAGTTGGCTTCAGGATAATATTCCACTGTGTCTTAAAAAAAAATACACATTTTGGTGCAACGACAGAGGGGTTGAGTTAGGGGGTAGATACAGATACGAGGCAAAATTCAGTGGCAACCTCTCCGGTTCACAAAACAAGGCACAATCCAGGAAATGTCCCACTTTGTGACTGCAAGGAGCTCCCCACAAGCTGTTGCTGAAAGTTGCGCACGGTAAAATGAACGAGGCTGCTGCAGGAGCACTCGGGACGCACAAGTGAGCAGGTGTGTACTTGTGCGAAGGGAGCATTCGTTTCAGGGTGCCTTAAATGCAGGGGGACTTAGCCCCGTGGATTGTGTCCAAGCGCTTCCGCAAACTGACTCGGAGAGGCACTGCGCCTCCGCTTTCTCGGTTCACAGTCATACCTGAGGAACCAAGCTCCGCCAGCACCCCGCCTGCCCGCCTCTGATTCAGGGCCGTGATCAAAAGCATCAGTCCATTTACCGCGAGGTATAAATGGACGAGTGTCAGAAGGAAGGTGGAACCCGAGAGCTTTTGAACAGCCAAGCTCAGGAGGGGTGAAGGGGCCCAAGCCCCAGAGATCCAGCAGAGGAGGGAAGGGGGGACATGGCTAACCTGTCTTAAAAATCTACTATTAAAAATGCAGGTTTTGTCTGTTTAATCTTAATATATCCTAAGTAAAGTAAGGAAAATGGGAAGGCATTAGACGGGGGTGAGGGGGGAGGCTGGAGGGTCTTTCAGAACAGTAGCCCGGGCTGGGTGCCTAATCCAGCCACGCCGTCAGATTCTTCCACTCGCAAGCATGTTCCCCTCCCCTCTATCAGCCCCTGCGTGAGGGGAAGTGAGGCAAGGTTCATTCCGAGGAGGGTTTTTCTATACAAAAAAGGACCGGTCGGCTGGAGGTTGAGCTCCCGCGAAGAGGCCGTGGCGAAGGAGCGGGGGCTACTGCCCCGAGGCGTCTCCCACTATCTCAATCCCGTGTTGCTGCAGCTGCGCCCGCAGGAGGGCATTTTCGTTCTTCAGCTCCTCGATCTGGTGGGGGGGCGGGGAAGGGGGAGAAGAGGGGAGACGTTAAACGGAATGGAGTAACAGCAGACGCCCGCTACGTCTGGCTACCCGAGGAAGATGCCGCGCTCTGCATGTGAGAACGAGGCCGCGGGTCTTTACACGGGAAGTCTGAGGTCCAGGCCCCAAAGAAACCCAGTCATTTTGCAGGCATTCTCGTGCTGAATGCAGGAGCAAACGCATGAGGGGAAGGCACACAGCGGCCCTGCCGCTCTCCCACCACCCGTGGCGGGTGACGCTTTGAAAGAGGAAAGTCTCCTGTGTTTGTGAGTACCTTCCTGTCAGCCAGAACACAGAAGAATTGGTGTTCTGACCCAGGCGGGGAGCCTCCACAGAGTTTCCCGTCTTCAGGCGGTCCCCCTCCGCGAGCTGAAGGAGACGGACCTAACCATGGAGGAGGAGCATGAACAGGGCTGAGCTTTCTCCGATGCGTGCCTATGCATTTATTTGTGAAGACGCAAGACCGCCTTCTTCTCCCTTGCTTGCCAGAAGAGGGATTTTGTTGCACCATGTAATAAAAGGGAAAGACGTGTATTGCAGCTAAGCCAGGGCAACTGGCTTCAAGAGCTCTGGAGCCAAGGTTGCTCCTTCAAATGAACATTGGCCACAAGCCTTTTCCTTGCAAAATGCTCTATTGCTTCTGACTTCAAATCTCCCAGAACAGATGTCTGAGCATGCACAGAGCGGTCTGTTGAACCCAACCTAGTGATCACCTCCCAAAACTCTCCTTACGAACACTTTTGTGCCCCAGCCACTCAGGAGGGACTGTGCAGGCAAGGAAACCCCCTCACTGCTTTCTGTTCCTCCAGCTGGGCCTCCCAGCTCGGCTGGCTTCTTGCCATGAGGTCCAGCTCAGAGGGGAGGAGCTGGTCCACGTCTGAGAGAGCCTCCCCCCCAGCCCCCCCCCCCCCATTCCCAGGGACAGTCCAGCACAGCAAAGTGGCTGGCCATGAGACAATCCCCGCCCCTCCCGCCGCATCCCGGAGCTTGAGCTGGCGCGGACTCCCTCTCTTGCCGACACAACCCTCACTGTCCGAATCGGGATCAACGTCTGTGGCATGGCTGGCACCCTGTGGGAGCGCTCGCCGCCGCCCGCCACCCTCCTTGCTCTCCGCACCATCCATCAGTTCATCCCTCCCTCCGTGCAGTCCAAGGTTTAGTTGTCACGAAACTGCTCAGCTGCACTGGGCTGTGCCATTCTGCACTGGATGCCAGGATTCAAATGGCTCATTTCTGAATGGGTGGTTTAGTTCAGTCTGGCTTACATGGATATATGGACTGCCTTTGTTAAGTCTATGCATATTGTATTATCCCTAAGAATAGTGGTCTATGTTGCTATACCTTAAATAAATAGGAGTACACAGTTTAGATGCATTCATTGGAATACATACACTGTATGTCAAATTGCACGTTTCATGGAAGGAAACTGTAATACTTGATTTATTTTCTTTCTGCTGTTTTGCTCTGATTTTTCAACTCAAAAATTAGAAGCATCATTGCTCTCCAGGTTATAAGGACAGGAGACACCAAAAGCCAAGCTACCTGCTGCCGTAACAAGTCATTGTCCATCTGCAGCCTCTCGGCTTCTTTGAAGGTCTCCTGCATGCGCTGGTTCGTTTGGCGCAGCTCACGGATATAATCGCAGGCTTTGGATAGGATGCCTCCTTTGCTCTGTGGGGCACACAAAACCACGGGTCCTTAATTCCATGCTGCCCTGGAGCTGCACAGAAGCCAGAGCCCCGCCTGCTTGCCTCTCTGGCAGGGGAAAAATCAAGCCACGGCAAGCAGACCAGGGCTTCGTATTCCTCCCAGAGGGCTGCATCCTCTTTGCACACCTTAGGAGATTAATTTATCTGCCACATCGCGTTTGCCCCTAGAGGGAAACAGCAGGCATCACGTCCCTCAATCAGCGAGAGCTGCAAGGTCACTGATGGACACGAGGGATGTCCAGTGGGGCCATAAGAGACGAGGAAGGGCAGAGGGAAAATATTTTGGTGCACGAGCGCCTTCCAACCAAGTGGAGTGCGTCTGCGACCCTGGGACACTGCAAAACTAGAAAAGCTGGAACCAAATGATGCAGGCTAACAAGTTTGCCAATACTGGTTATTCACCTGCCTCATTCTGTCTACTGAGATTACAGGTTTTCTTCTCTAATATTTGGCATGTTTCTTTCCCCGTCTCTTCTGCCACTTCCCTCCTCCCAGAATAGTCTGATTAGGGAAGGAAGCATGGTGCCAGCACAGGACGCGCTCAGCAAAAGATGAGGCTCATCGTCCTAAGCTGCAGATCACGCTGAGCTGCCAAATAATGCTAAGCCTTAGCATCCTTCATTACACTGGCAAGAGACAGTGTGACACAATGGTTAGAGTGCTGGACTAGTCCTGGTTCCAGATCTCTCACTGGGTGACTTTGGGCCAGTCACAGACTCTCAGCCTAACCTACCCTGGAAGGCTGAGAATAAAATGGAGAGAAGGATCAGCCAAACTGTTTTGCAGCCCTTGGAGGAAAAAACCAAATGCAACAGATAAATGTGAGTGACCCAACTCAGACCCCATCACACCAACAGTCAGGATCTCGGCTGTACCAGCTGCTCCAAGAGATGTGGATAAGCAGTGGCCCAGGGAAAGCGCCCCGGACTGCGTGAGCTCTGTTGGCGTGTATGTGGTCCAGCCCACAATTTAATTAGCATTTCTCTTTCCAGTGGGGTGAGCAACGCGGGCACTGAAAGGCCAGCGCTGAAGGTCTCTACCTGCTTGTGGCAGCATGGCAAAGCCCTGCAGTTTCTCTTCAAAATAAGGTGGAGGCATGAGAGCCGATGTAGTGGTTAAAATGCTGGGGTGGGGGGGGGGGGGCTGGGAGGTCCGGCTTCTGGCCCCACCTGGCCCTGCAGCTCACAGGGAGACTTCGGGCCAGTCACTCACTCAGCCCAACCCACACCGCAGGGTTGTTGGTGTGAGGATAACATGGAGCTATCTTGGGTTCCTCACCAGAGGACGAAGGGCAGGATATAAATGCAATGCAATAACAGTAATACCAATAGCAGCAGCAGCAGCAGTAATAATAATAATAAAAGTAACGATGATAATGACGCGAGGAAGCAAGCACCCCTTTCTCAAGCAGGATTGTGCTCCTGGAAGCATCCCATGAGAGCAGTTTTGCTCAGCAGTGCCCTCTTTCCCCTCCAGCTCATTTCCACGCAAAGCAGCACACCCCTCTGCCTGAGGGGCCACTTTTCTAGCCATGCCCCCACATTTGGGAGCAGAGAGTTCACAGCGCCTGAAGAAACATGGCGCTGCACGGGGCCCCCCCGTCGCCCGCCCCCCGCCCCGCCGGACTGCAACTGGTCGCATGGCGAGAGCAAGGTTGCACGCAGCTTCCTTGGCCTCCAGGGAGCAGTGCTCTAAGTCTTCTACCCACGATAACAGCCAAACACCTCCACACCCAAACAAAACAACCCTGACCTCGTTTGTCCCCTCCCTGGCATTTGCCCTCACCGCCCCCGTCTTGCTGTTGTCTGTGTTGCAGTCTGGAATGATTTTCGATAGCTGGACAATCCAGTTGTTGATTTTGTCGCGCCGCCTCCGTTCAACTAAAGAAGGAAACAACGAGGCAGTGATCAGAGATGGCTGCTTCTCTGGCCAGCTGCTTCCCACACTTGGGAACCCATGGGCAGGGGAGCGCAGAGGGAGAGGACCGGGCTGCTGAGATCAGCAGTAAGAATCAGTGGGTGTGAATTGCAGCAGCACCTGAAGATCCAGAAGGGCAGCGATGCGCTGCTCTAGTGGAAAGAACAAGCCCGCACGTCATGTGGTCAAATTAGCATGCATGCCAAAAACAAGGGTTTAAACCCGGGGTGTTCAGCCGCTTGCTGCCAAGCGCGCACTTTCCTGGGGACCTCCGGGGGCTGCATGCCAAAGTGGGAGGAGTCAGACATAAAAGGGGCAGGGCCAACGCATCACTGCCAAGGACTGAGCGCTCTGATGTTTTACAGTGGGAGAAAAACTGTGCCAAAGCCGGTGAACCAGGTGGCCAGTGATTGGGGGGAAATGATGGGGCCTGGGGAAGGAAGTGTAGCTCCCTGGGGGCACACCATCAGACCCCTAGGCCTAGGGCTTGGCAGTCGGCTTTTAAAAAGTGGTTTTGGAAGGGAGCTGCTGGCGCAAACATCACTCTCGGCACTCAAAGGCAGGACATCGCAAGGGTGAGTTGTGGCCGGGGCAGCCTCGTTTGGATTGGCCAGGCTCATCTTTCCAGCATGCCTGGTCCCCGGGTGCCAAGCCGGACGGCAGAACCTGGCTCTTCCAGCAGCTGCTGCGGTCTGCCGGGTCCATCAGTCAGCCCTGCTCTAGCTAAAAGGGATGCAGCAGGCACGGGAGGGGGCGAGCTGCTTGGCTCTTCGGCACACCTTCGTTGTGCTGGGCCCTTCGCCTCTCATCCCGCGGTGTCCGTGTCCCGTCCATTTTCCTGCAGTTCAAAGGCACAGGTATGGCAAAAATCAGAAGGGGCCCCAATTCCATTCTCCCGCTCCAAAGACTGGCTGTGGCGAGGCCACGCTTCCCCTATCGCCCACCCGTTCCAGGGACACGGCAGCACTTCTGGAGGGTGCAAAGCTTCGCAGAGGCACCCAGCCTCAGTTCTCAGTCCCACGCAAGGAAGCGCAGTTACAGCAGACCATCCTGGGCCTTCCAGATGCTTTAGATTACAAGATCCATCAGCCCTGTCCACAGTGACCCATGACCAGGAATCCTGTGAGTTGTATTGCTCCCCTTTTCTAGGTTGATTGCTGAGATGCTTTAACCGATCTGTGCCCAATCTGAGATTCCCACAGCACGGGCGGCAAATATGATGCAAGTCTCTACATCGGGTGGGGAGACTGGGGGGCTGATGGGCTAGACTGACTCCAGCCCGAGTCCACTGGGGGCAGAATCCCCCCCTGCCACTGCCACTGCCAGCACTGAAATGCGGCTGCAGTGTGGTGGGAACCACAGAAAGCTTGAAAGGAAGCAAGGCACGCACGGACGACACACCTTCCCTGCAGGCAGAGCTGTGCTCCCAGCGTGGCGCTAAGGCTCCCGTGAGAACGGCTGTGGCGGACTGGATGTGGCCCACCCAGCCAACTCAGACTCGTTGCTTATTCTTCCCGCCCTCTTCCAGCAAGGAATCAATGGCAGCTTCCACCCTTATTTAATTTCCCTATCATCCAATTGCTGAAGTGCCCTCCTCCACCCCACTTTATCCTCACAACAACCTTGTGAGGTAGGAAGGCCAGGCTGGGAGCTGAAAGCCATGCCGCAAGCTTTGTGGCCAATGGGGGTCCGGCTGCCAGACGGACTCTCAGGCCAACATGGAAGCCGCCACCCCACCTTGGCGCCCACTCTGGAAGGGGACCTGCCCCACAAGGACGCGGTTTCCTTCTCTCTGCCCCCATCTCATTGGCCCTACCTGCCTGAGTTCCTGCAGAATGCCTCATGGCCCCCGCCTCCTGCTTGCCCCCGCAGTCGGCGCCCCACAGCTCAGCCCCCCGCCCCCCAGCAATTCCTGCTGCCAGACGCTGCACCTGGCTTGGTCCCGGAGCCATACGTACGGGGAATAGGGGTGCGTGCGAGGGGCAATGGTGCGCTGTGTCCCCGTCTGCAGCACATCTTGCGGGGTCATCATCACGTAGAACTGGCCTACGGGAACAACCCGGAAGAGACATTTGGCTGCCAGTGCCACGACTGTCCTTCCCCCGCCCCACGCGAACACGCACCGACTGCACCCCACGAGGCGGCCCAGGGCAGGGAGGACACCCGGCCCGAGCGGGGAACCACGGACAGACTGGCTCTCGGGGAGGGGGCTGCCCAACGAGCGCCTCGCTCGCCTACCTCCAGCCTGTGACAGCGACGGATCTGTTGTCTGCACGGACACCGCCGTGGCGTCCCCCACTGTGGAGGCAGGGAAGTACGCGAAGCGAGCCTCCCCGCTGACGGCATCCGTGGCTGGGCTCCCGCCATTGCTGAAGGGGTTCTGGATCACAGCCTGGAAAGAGAGCGGTGCAAGACGGCATGGGGACATGCTGTGGCGAGGTCTGGCCTCCGGTGGGGAAACGCAGAGGCGGTCGCCTATGAAGGCAGCGGGGTGAGAGAGAGAACTCCTGGGTGCAGCTGGCGCCAGGGAAGAGGACGACAACACACAGAGAGCACTCGGGGCGTTCCAAAGCACGCGAGGTGGCGTCTGTCTACCCAAATGCACGTCGTGCTTTTAAAAGCCGTATTCACTGTGTGCCACTCTGTGCTGCCTTTCCTTCGTTTCGATCCCCGGCGCAGCCCCTGCCACAATCTGAGTTCAGCACCAGATCAGAGCCCTGGACTAGGTCATGCCAGAAACTCCTGCAGCATGTGCCGAGTCTTTATTTCTGTGCTAAACAAAGGGCTTTGCTTTTAGTGATGGAAACACCACAGTGACAAGCGAAATCATGTGTTCAGGCCTGTCTATGAAGCACCTGAGGGGCTCATGGGAAAAGTTACTGCATCCTGCACGGGAGTGTGTCTGGAACGCTGATCCACCACTGAGCGTTTCCGGGCGCCCTGTGCTAGACCAGAGCTGGATCATGCACCAGAGGCCAGGGACCCAATGTCGGGAGGCACTGTATGAAACTGACGCGTCGTGCGTTGCACTGAACCGGCACATGGTCCTGGGACACAGTCACACTGTTACACAAGCAGGAAGTCAATCCCGCTTGAAACCCAGCAATAATGAGGACTCGCAGGGGTGTTCTGAGTGTGCACTGCCGCCTTGTGGCCAAGAGCAGACAGACTTTTACAGCGCAAAATGCTGACAGGACCAGCTAGAGAGACAATAGCAACCTGGGGGTTTTCTGGTATCGTAGCCAATCATCTGAGAAGATTAAACTCTGACATCTGCCCGCATGTCTGCTTGGAAGTTAATCCTGCCAATTTCAATGGGGCATTTTCCCATGCAAGTGGCTTCCTCCAGATCATGCCGCAGTACAGCTCCCATCATCCCTGGCCTGATGGGAGGGACAGCCCCACAAAGAACAACCCCCCACTCCCAGTTGCAGCCTGAGGGTCTAGCGTACCTTCTTCTTGGATGGAGCCCCCTTAAATTCAATTGGATTGGCTCCTGTGCAGACAAGCCTTGGATCGCCCAGCATATCAGCTGCTTCTGCACAGGTGCTCACTTGCATGACCACCAGTTTGAACAAGCCTCGCAGGCTGTTGGAGCCGCGGTGTGTGCCAGGCACCGATGGCTGAATCCCTCACCTGGGCGTGGCTTGCTGTGTTACCTGGACCAGAGATCCGCGGCTTGCTTGAGGGGAACCAACCTGCAAACCACCCAACAGCAGGCCACGGGCTAGCGGAAGGTTGCTTCCTCCCCCAGCCAGCCACACAGCCCAGGTCTGAATGGCACAACAGCAGGCAGGCAACTAGGCCAGTTGGGCCTTGTTTAAGCCAGGATGATTGTGTGGCACAGGTCAAGCAACAAGCAGGTTGAGGTGCCACCGGCATGCACCTTATCTTGGCATCAGAGGCCTCCTCCGCTCGCAGTATGTCTCTTTCCACACCGACTGCCAGGGATGCGGAGGGCAACCTGACAGCGGGCTGGGACTCTGACAAGCCCCATGGCCATGCAGATGCTGTCTAGGGCTATAGGATGGCACTGCCCATGTCTATAAGCAAAAGCTACATTTGCGCAGTGTTTTCAGTAAAGAACAAAACATGCTGGGAATTTACAGGCAGACATTAAAAAACGGCTTCAGATTTTCTTCTGTCTTGTGTCTTTCTGAACACATCCTTCTTTCACAACTTTCTTTGGATTTTGGGAGCAAGAACGCACAGGTGTGGCTCAGCTCAGAGATGGGTGGAAGATCAATTGGGGTCTACACCTCTAGGTAGATCTGAAAAGCTTTCTGATACCCAAGCAAAAGCCTTAATTTTTCCCTCCATTAGGCTACTGAAATCTAGAAAGCCCGGGGGGAAAGCAAGATTAGGGGCATGCAGATTTGCATGAGGAAGAGAGAGAGAATGTGTGTGCACACTCTAGCTCTGGGAGTGAAAAACAGGTTCTTCGGTGGAGCATGTGCTCAGGGGCTGCTTGTTCTGCACTTCTGTGCCTGCCTTTTGAGAGGCGCTCAGGATGTTCGGGGAGAGAAAAGATTTTCTCACAGGAAGTACGCGCAGGAAGTGAAAGGAAACCAAAGCAATGCAGTCCCCTCACGGGACCGTCCAGCCAGCATCACCTCCTTCCATGCAACTTTTCTAAGGAGGGACGCCACCCATCCAACCTTGACCACTGGAAAGGAGCCACCCTGGGAGCAGCTGGAGAGGTGCCGCACGGCGGTGCTGCTGGGAGAGGGGAAGCTGAAACCGGCTGAAACCACAAGCTCTCGACCTGCCTTGCGAGCTGACTGAGCCCTGTGCCAGGAGGTGCGACAGCCGAATCACAGATCGTCACCCTGCCTTGGAGAGTCTAGCTCCACACAGGATATTCCTGATGCTGCAGCCATGGTTCCTTGGCCTTGCGTTTCTTTAAAAATAGACACATGCCCAGTTCAAGAATTCAGAACTTGGCATGTTCCCAGCATCTCGTGCTTTTGTTTCAACGTTTAGATCTTTTGGTGGGATTTTGTGTTCAACAGCTTTTGGCACAATATATTCCAAGGGTGAAGAACGGCAGCCCACACTCTGGGAAGGGCAGAGAGCAAAGCTCCTTTACCTTCCCTGACTGACTGTTTTAGGGCTTTGCAGCTTTTATGCTGTTTGCCCCCATTCTCAGAGCCTGAAGTGCCCCTCTTCAGGCTATGATGCAGTATGGTCTTGAAGCCACAACACACTGGGATGTCTTACCCTGCCCCTTTCGAATTTGGCCCCCAAGAGACATACTGAAGTTGAGTTTGGCCTTTGGGATGAAAGAGCTTCCCCAACCCAGATATTTTTGGATCTTCTTCCATGTATGGTACATATAGATACATTGCGTGATAAAATAGGTAAGCCCACTGTTGCAGCTGGGTGCTCTTTAGCATTTGCTGGGCTTTTTAATTGGGAAGTCTGTCCTCATTTGAAATCAGGAGAGCAAATCAGGGATATTAGAAACATAGAAACAGAGCGAGTCAGAAGGGGCCTCCCCGGCCATCTAGTCTGACGCCCAGCTCTAGCCGGCTTCAAACATGACATGCCCACCATCTTCCACATCCAGGCTTCTGCAATTTGATGGCCACCTGATATGTTACCCTCCAACCCCTGTAATCCCCAGCCGGCATGGCGTTATAAACAAATGTAACTGCTGATCATGCACAAGTGGACTCTGGCTCTCAAGGCACATGCAGCTGCATGTGTGTCAGTTCTCCCTGTCATATGAACACCGAAACCAAGACCAGCTGAAGATGGCACAGGCTTGGTTTTCCATGGTTCTCGCTGAGTTCCATTTCCTTCAAAAATGTGTACCCCACTCCTATTTCTCCAGAAAAAGGCACTTGAGAGAGATATTCAGACTTAAATACCCACTGTGAAAATCACCTTTTAATAAACCAAAAAGAAAAAGCACAAAGTCGCTAATCTTCTCAAATTATCTCTAGAAAAGATCAGTTTTTGCCTGTTCCTGAAGGCAGAGGTGGAAAAGGAGCCAAGAACAAGATAAAAGATGGTGTCTCTTATTTAGTGCAAAACTTTAGATTCCGCTTTCCAACATGCCACTCAAAAGCTGATATTCCAGAATGCTTTTCATCTGTTCTAGGTTGTTTGCTTTCATCACTTTCAAGTTGAATCACTAAGAGTTTTAAGCATTGAAGCTTGATCTGAAAATACTGCACTGCTTTTTATGGTGTTGCGGCTTTTTAATAATTGCTTTTATTGTTGCCTTTAAGATGTGTTGCCTTGTATTCAATTCGCAAACGTTGTTATCGGAAGCTGCTGTGGGCAGTCACAACTCCTGGAAAGGCAAGGTGTGCATCACTAAAAGCAAAACCTGAAACAAAACAGATCTGTGGCCAGATTTTGGGGTCACAACAAAACCATCCCTCACCTGAGCAACAGCCTGCTGGCTGCTGGTGAAAGCCGCTGTTGAGACCACGCTGACGGCCCCCGTTGCGTCTGTTTGTCCATCCAGCTGACTGTCCGTCACCTGAACTACTCTGTATGTCACCTGAGAGAGAAAGCAAACAACAGTCACCCTTCCGGAAACAGGGGGATCCTCTGTGTGTGAGAATCTGTTTGTGCACACGTGTGAATTTTACGCACATATTCAGAAAACTGCACAAGGATGGGTGGAAAATGCAGCAACTTGGTGCATTTCAGATGTGTTTAAATGAACCGAACAGAACACAGTGGGTCAAGACCACACCTGTTAAAACTGCGAGAGAGAGACCAGAGCTACACGTATGCAGTAATGTGGTAAAACATGGCAGAGACTTCCTGAAGATGCTTTTTAATAGGGGCGGGCTGAGGGGACCACAGAGGAAATTTCTCCCTGTGTATGTAGAAATCTAGCATCTCAGGGGGAAGGGTTTGACCAGGGTCTCTTGCTTACGACAGCCTCCTTTAATTCCCGCTTTCGATTGCAAGGGAAAGACATGATTTTGGGCAGTGGAGAAAGGAGTCTAGTGGTGAAGTTGGTAGATTCCATTAAGAACTTTGATCCCAAATAAGCTCTCTGCCCTCAGGATGTATGTTTCCGACAGATACTCAGTCATGCCCCAACACCCTTGCCAAGGACCCAAAATAGCGCCGCCCTAGAAGTGGTGCTGGGAAGAACTGAGCCCCTTTTACATTTACTCCCCAGCTGGAAGGGTCAGGTTCCAAAATACAAGAATATTTCCCTTTAAAGGTCTTACTGCCAGTAAGCACAAGGAGAAGCATTCAAGTCCTTTAGGATCAAGGGAGAAACCTGTGGAAAAGTCGGGACCCACCCAAGGATCAGTGGCTAAGGGAAAGGTGCATGACCTGACGGACAGACTGGGAATTCTGGGGAAGGAAGCCAACACTCCTGGCCTCCAGTAGGTGTCCAGCCGGCCCCATACCTGTCCTCCATTGTTCTCTGTGCGGAACTGATACTGGATATTGTGGTCTGTAAAGGCGGCTTGCTGGACGCTGGCAATGGCCACTGCAGTTTGCTCGTCTGCATTCGTCCCGTCTCCTGGGAAGGGAAGGGAAGACGGTTACAAATGAGAACAGGAGGCTCCACTGGCTCAGCAGGTCAGCCTCCACCAGGCAGGCTCCGCTGGGTAACAGGATGCCCTGATGACTGGGAAGCCACCAGATTTGGCCAGTGTGTCTATGAGCTCATGAGACAATGAGAGAGATTACAAAGGCATGACTGCACATGTGTGAAAACCGACACAAACAGAAAACAAGGCTACCCAAAAGGTTTTTGACAATAAAATAAGCCATTACAAAACATTAAAAACCAATCAAAGCCTAATCCAAAGAGAAAGAGTTTATCAACTCATGGTGAGTGGATGGAGTTGATTTTCAGAATCTCAGGTCAGATAAAAACAACATTAAAACCAACCTATCCTTCAGAACATCTGTCAATAAAAAGGTTTTTTCACCTGACGCCAGAAAGGGAACAATGAAGGCGCCAGGTGCATCTCCTTGGGAAGCATGTTCCAGCAGCTGGGTGCAAGCACAGAGAAGATCCTCTTCCTTACTGTCACCCCCCTACCTCCTTGGGGGTGTTCTCAGAGAAGGACCTCCGTGGAAGATCTTAACGGCTGGGCAGGAGCATACAGAGAAAGGTGCTCCTTCAAAGAGCCATTTAGGGCTTTAAATGTGAAGGTCAGCATTTTGAATTGGGCCTGGAATTCAGCAGGCAGCCAGTGCCGCTGAAAGAGAACTGGAGTGATGTGACCCCATGGGCCTGGGCAGACACGCTGTCCTGTTCTGAGCCAGCTGGAGTGCTGAACACCTCAGAGAGCTGTCTCAGTGTTGTACGGGCTGGACAGGGAGGAAGAGAAGAAATGAAGCCCGGAAGACAATGACATCTTCACTGTGTGCATAATTTGTGAGCAAGACACAGGTTGGCCTTTCTGTACCTTGCATCACCATCTTGGGTCAGTGAACTCTCACGTGTGCAGGAAGAACCGATATTTAATATACTGTCAGCACATTGCCTTAAACCAAGTTTAGATGCTAATCTTTGGTAGTGACAAGCAGAGACTTTGCATTGTAGAAGTTATGGTGTCTGATTTGGACTAACTCCTTGTGTAAGCTTGAGCTAGTTCCCATCTTTCCAGCCAGCCTACTTCACAGAGTTGTTGCGATGATAAATAAATGTTTCAAAGGAGAAAAGGTACGTAAACATTGTTAATAAACAGAACGTGCAGTAGTGGGGGACCAGTGGTCCCCCACACGTGGGTGGATTACAACTCCCAACATCCCTGCACATTGGCCATGATGGCTGGAGCTGATGGGTGTTGCAATCCAGTCATAACTTCCCATACTTGACACAGATAACAAAACAAAACACAAACAAAAGTGGTGAAGTGTAAACCTCCTTAGGACAGGGAAGTGTTTTTTCTAGCTACAGAGAAAATAAAGGTTTCTTCCCCCCTTTCTTCTCCATCAAATTAATATTCAGTGATTAATGCCATCACTTGTACACAGGATGCCTCTCTGTGGACAGAACAGTAAACGAAAATACGAGGGCAGGAGGGAGGGATTATTTGGAATTCTGGCTGCACAAATCTGCCTGGCTTGTTCAGAGACATTTGGTGTGCCTTACATATCCAGGAGTGCCTGGCTGCTGAACATCCCCCCCCCTTGTGGGGGCGATGGCTTGCCTACGGGGGGTGGGTGAGTGGGTGTTTCTGGGCCAGCCCAGGCCCCTTCTCACCTTCCTGTAGCTCGACTCCCTCTTCACCTTCTTGACTTTTCTCGTGGCTGTAACACAGATGGAAAAGAAAGAATTGTCATCAGCAAAGGCTGGGAGGCGACTGGAGAGCGGCGCGAAGGCGAACCCTGGCCCATGCCCCAACCACTAGGCCAGGGCTGTGGAACGCAGCCCTGTGGGTTAAATCCAGCCCTCCATCTGGACGGGAGCCAAATATGGGCCTCTGGTATGCACAAGGAGGGCCACCCTCCCGGCCTGGCCCCAGTCCTTCTCCCGACAGTTTGGTGGCTTCCTTGGCGTCGCTCTCTCCCCCACTCAAAAGGCTGAAATCCTTCTTCGAAGGATGAGTCCCTGGCACCAAGAGCTTTAAGCGAGAGCTTTTCCCTTTGGCCTCGGTGAACCACCAGCACCCGGTAGCCCAGCGCTTCTCCGGAACACAATTTCCCCCTTGGGCTGAATCAGGTTTGACGTGCCTGCACAGCACCCTACTCCCTTCCAAAAGCCGGCAGGCAGATCCCACAGCAACAGCGGCCGCCCTGGAGTTTGTGACAGTAATTTGTGTGACGGACCACTAATCCGTGTGACAGACGGATTAGAATTACGTCCCGTGGTTGTCTCCGGGCTCAGGAAAAGACCCCTCCTTGCATTCATGAAGTGACCGCATGGGGCTGAAGCAGCAAGGAGACTGCATTGCCTGCCCCATGCCTAGGGGTGTGGGCCTTCCCAGCTCCCAGTGGGCACACACTGGGTCCCCCATCTGTGCAGGGTAGGCCGGGGGGAGTGGGTGTCTCCAGGAACTGCAATACTGGTCACTTAGGGCTCCGTTATAAGGAGGACTGCAGTGAAGTGTGGGCAGCAGACTGGGGTCCGAGGAGTCGGAGACCACCAAGGTGGCCTGCCGCCCCTTCGCACAGCTGAAGCTTGCTGGAGTCACATTTGTTTTCAGTTAGCACAGATGGGCACTGAGAGAATCACTTTGCAAAGCGGGAAACGCCATTTGTGAAACGGAGTCTTCCAGGCCTTGGGGTTTCCAAAAATGGCCACACCCCACCCATCTCCCCGCAAGCAACAATTGCTGGGCGATTTTCTGGGTTTCAGAAAGATTTACTGCCACATTTTATACGGCCAAAACACTTAGCAGCAGCAGCAGCCTTTTGCTAAAGCAAGGCTGCAGGACATTGCTGAGCCCAAGGCCTGAATTCCATTCCACGGAAGCCCTTGCGGGCCAGTAGCAGGTAAAGCTGTAAGGAAATAGGGTGCCCCCCCCGCCAAACCATGTACCCCCCCTAATGTTGTTGCCTTAACGTCCTTCCTGCAGGCAGCCAATCTTTAGGAGAGCCTTCTCAAGATTTGCAAATGAGGTGGGGGAGAGCGCTTTTAGTCCGAGGGCCTGAAGTCCGCACTCCTTATTTATCATATTCACATTCCACCCTTTTTCCTTCCAAGGAAATGCAGAATTCTCTGCCTCCTCCTATCAATCTTATCCTCACAACAACAACCCTGTGAGGTAGGGGTCCTTGATATCTTGCCACAGTGCCTTTTCCCCATGGCCCCCTCTGCCACCGGAATGCGGTTCCAGAAAGTTTCTCTGGTATTAATTCCAGTGCTTGGGCCAACAGAGGTGCCGGGTGCCTGGGCAGGGCAACCCCCCGCTGTGCTGGCCATGGCCGTGGCCCCCGGCCTGCCCAACCAGCGGGTGCCCCGCGGGCTCTGGCTGGGAAGAGCAAGAGTCCAACACACCGGGATGACTCGGCCGTGGAAGGCAGCCTTGGGGGCCACACACTGTTCACCTGTCCAGGTGAAGGCAGTGCTTGCCCCCTTGCCCTCAGCTCAAGGTGATGTACCCCCTGCCAGGGAAACGTACAGGTGGCCAGGACCAAAATGATGTCCTGAGAGTTGAAGGCACTCAGAGTGACTGTGGGGCACAGTGCAAGTATTGCAACCAGAACCCCGCTTCCCCCCACCAAAATGGAGCGTGCATGTTTCTGTATCAACCCCCCTTGACTTCAGAGGTCCCAAAAGCAGCATTACCCATTGCTGCCTTCCAAAGTGTGAACAATTGGTCCAGGAGAGAGGCTGCACCTCTGGAACAGAGGGAAACAGCAAAGACCGGGGGGGGGGGGGAGCAAAAATTTGGAGGGACAAGCCCAAATGGGGAAAAGGTGACCACCAGTGGCAGGCAGGTGAGCTCATTCGTAGATCCCTCCTACAGTTTGAAGCAGGGGTCCCCAACCTCGTTGGCCCCATGAGTACATTCAGGAATTTGAGACCTGAGTGCCTCTAGACAAAGCATAGGGGATTTCAGCTGAATCTGAGTTCAGAGAAATGTTCAGGGCGACATTCAAGTGGTGGGTGAGGTGGGGCTGAAAGCAAAGGGGTAAGAGCGAAAGTCCAAAAGGGGCAATACCGTTTAGCTCGAGGCGGTTACTGTGAGCGGTGGGAGAGGCGTTTCAGTCTTCGAGATGGAGGAAAAGCTGCACCAAAGCAGGGAAACCACTGGATGGTCTGTGGGTGGGGAAAAGGGACGTGGCATCCAGGGAACCCTACAGAGCTAAATGGGGGCCCCGGACAGTCCAGAGCCACCCCTGGGGCCGAGGTTCTGCACCCCTGAAGCAGAGCACGCCTTCAAATCTAGAACTGCAGCCATGGAAAGGCCTCTGTAAGTAGGACAAATGGTTAGATGGGAAGGGTTTTCTTTATTTATCTAGAGATTTCTATCCCAGCCCATGGGAAATCTCTCGCAAGTCGAGGGCCACATTCCAGTGGTCACAGGCAAAGGCCAGCTCTGCAAACAGAGGTGGGGGGGGGGCGCACAAAATATTAAGCGTATTGCACTTTGCAGTTCTTACTGTCAGTAACTGCACCTTCGGAGAAGCATTTCAGCCTTTTTAAACGGGCTGAAAACTTCACCAAAGCTTGCAGGTCACCCAAAGACCAATGGTTGGGGGAAAGCAGGTGCAGCCAGCAAAACAGAGCACAGCCAACGAGAGAACCCCAGTAGGCCTGGCTGGAGCCCCAGGAGGGCTTGATTTGGCTGCACTTTGTAGCGGTTTCCCACCCTGACTCTACATATTTTGGGCCAACCCCCACTGTCCCCAACCATGCCGGGCGAGGCTGATGGGGGGGGAGTCCAAAACACCACCAGGGCCGACAATTCAGTGATGCTGAGTCAGCCCCACGTAATCTGTTCTGATGGGCAGCAGCGCCTCTGACAGAGAAGGGCCTTTTCCACTGCTGCCATTTTTAACACGTGACTGAAGGGACTGAAGTATCACGGAAGGGCTGTGAGTCTCTCTTAACAGATGCTGCAGCCCATGGGGAAATCTTTCCACATTAACCGTCCTGACGCACCAGCTGAGAGTGCAGCTCGTAGTTTGCCCAGTAGTTTGTCCTCTTGGGCTGCACATGGCAGGGGAAGATTGAGAGCAGCTGCCAAAAATGCAGGGCGGTTTACGTGCTGCTGGCAGTCTTCTCCTGAACTGCCTCCTGATAAACTTCTGAGAAAAGCCCCGGTTTCTGTAGAACACTATTTTGAAAAAAAGCCACTTGGGTCCTGCTGAGCCCGAATCAGCCCTGATTCGTTTGTGCCAAGCAGATATACGGAAATAATGTTTAACGGGCAAATATTATTTGCTTCTTCCTAGCTAGGCACGGCGATGGTGGGGGAAACTCCAGCATTTTTGGAGAAGGAATCCCAAATCGTTGGCATACTGAACCGAAAACACCCAGGACTAAACTTGAATCTGCAGAATGATGACGGGAGAATTCACTGTTAAAGACAAGACAGCTTGGGGCAGTATGAAGACTAGGCCAGGAAGAACCAAGCTTAAATGCCTGGCATGTGGCTACCAAGTTCACTAAGTGGCCCTGAAAGGTTGCACTCATAACCTGTCCTACCTTACCGGGTCGTGATCATAAAACAGAGGTAGAGAGACTGCAGAGGTCACCTTCAGTTCTTTGAAGGAACAGCAAGATGAGAAACCAGTGATATGACAGATGCACAATGATTAGCAAATGGACAGGCTAGAATTTCCCCATGGCGAGGTAAAATCAGGGCGAAATCCCCATCACGTCTCTAAGAGCACAGTACGCAGGTGCTTGCTCCCACCTCCCAGCATTCCCTAGCCGGTGCCCTTCCCCTGTGTTGGACTACTGCTCCCATTATCCCTAGCCAGCATGGCCATGGTGGAAGGAGAATAAGGGATGCAAGTTCAGCAGAACCTCTAGGCCCAGAAGCAGGGTAGCTCTGAATCCCAAGTCTCGAGGCTAGAGCAAAGTGGAGGGGGGGTGGCTTTCTGCCCATCTGCCATGCTGGCTGGGGATGACATGTGTTGTAGTCCAAGGCATCGAGAGGGCCGCTGGTGGATGCACATGCACTGTCACACCGCCTGCACTGCCTGACGCAACTGGCCCGACCTGACACGACTGCGTGCATGCCGCAGCATGTCCGTGCCGTTTTGCCACACAAGGTCTACGCAGACTCCACAGCCTCCACGGCCGGTTGAAGACGTGTTGAAAATGCTGACAAATGCTCTCTTTCGTGCCTTCAGGGACAAAGCGGAAGCAACAAATGCCTCCTTCTCCCACACAAAACTATCCAGGATTCCTTAGGAAGATTCTTTTTTTCATGGTAAGTAAGTAATGTTCTAGTCCTCAGGATCAAGAGCATACGCTTGATTGTTCAAAAGCTGAAGAGGTTGAAAAGGTTGCTCAGTAGTCGAGGGATAGAAGGTTGTGGAGTCCATGCAAAGCAAAACCAAGAAAGCTTGGGGAGGATTTCTTTCTGTCTGTCTGTCCGTCTGTCTTTCTTAGCAAACATGGCTGTACAAATTTATGCAAAATAACAAACATGACAGAAATGGAGACTATCTTGTTTACAGTGTCTGTGGGTTAGAGAACTCCATTCTCCACAGTGGAGAATGGACTTTGCCTGGGCATCAAACATCTGCGGGACATCGCCCACAAACTGAACAGGTCGCGCTTTCCCGGATACCATCTCTCTCAGCACCCAGAGACAAGAGTCCCACCTCTGTGGTGGGCAGCCACAAAG